GTAGAGAATGCATTATCTTTCCCTGTTCCATCTGCTAAAGAACAATGAAGGTGGATTTAGGCAAGAGGGATATCAAATGCCTCCATGTGCATATCCAATGTATCATATGCTGATGGCATCAAACATTTAGCTTACTGGAAAGGGATGGCAAATGCCTTTTCATGGAAGCGGCTGATTTGTCCAGATTTTGAGCCAAGGACTTCAACTGATCTGGCTTGTGATTCTTTTTTCGGTACAAGTTGTATAAATCGGAAAAACTTCCCATGTTCCTTTTGGAGCTTGAAATGTGGACAGCTTCTTGGTACAAGTCTTGCCTAAAATAGACAATCTGTTCTTCAAGCTGAACCACCTCCTCTTCCAAAACAGCCACTTCTGCAAGAAGCTCCAGCGTCTACAGAAACTAAAATCCAGTATCAAACTATCTCCATTGATTGCATGTAATGGTCAGGCAAGTATTCCAGTTCATTAGTTTTTCTCAAGTTAATTGGTTGAGCATTGATATATCATTCGAATCTCTGTTTCTCTCCTCACATCTTTCAATCAAGTCCTTCCATATTTCTTATCAATCCGATCGCTATGCTTATTAAGTATAAGCTTCATAGTAATACTGTTTGTCTATAGGCACCTTTCTACTATTGAACTGACAACGCTAAAGGAACTTGAATGAAAACCATATGAAAGGATGGTGAATTACTAACCGCACGAGGGAGATATGGAGGAAGGCGAGGGAGAGCTCCCAACGGTCTGCTGAAAGCTCTCTCCAAAGCTCTGTGAATATTCTCTTCGTGCCTAAGTTGCTTCTTTAGATTATCAACCTGATTAAAAGGATTTTCAACACAATAATTAATGTAAGGAACGGTTCCATTGAAGACAGGACGGCATCAATGGAACAGGAAAGATACAAGATGGATTGATCTGTTTTGAATTATAGAAAGAAATAACAAGAGAGCATGATCATACATCTTGTTGCAATGCTATTTTCCTCTCTCTGCTCGAGATTCGTCTGTTTTTGGCAACATTTGGTTTGCTCCCCTGCATTTCAGCCTTCTCCTTCAATAAAATAGATTTAAATACAAATTACAAAACAATCAGATTCTCAAGTGAAAAAGAAAAAAAAGAAGGAAATAAACTATGCGGAGAAGTGGGAAGAAAAGGCAAAGAACATAAAACAAAACAAAGCTCAATGGAACAGGCCATTAAAAATCATCTGAAAGGAATTGTTTTTACCAACAATTCTTATGATTTTCCAAAAATAGATTTGACTGAAAATGCAATTCAGACTCTCATCAAATATGCATTCTTTATAAGAATTTACTGGAGCTTTCAGCTTCTGGATCCTCCTCATTAAAACTGAAGCCATATTTTCTGGCAAAAGCTATATCGCCCCATATCTAAAAAGTTACTAGACCTCTTCCAGGTTTAGACTTTGGATGGATAGACCATATCTACAGCACAAGCCATTTTTCGAAACAAATAAAAAATAAGCAGTTAAAGTGATTAAGCAACCAAGTTTAAGCATCGATTAAGTGCTTACTTTTTCAAGCTTCATTGGAGCTTTCATGGACTGCAGCCTATTCCTCGCGCTAGTATTCATCTTTGCTCCCTTTAAATCTGCAAGTCCTTCATTAAAGAACCCAATTCAATAACTTCATTAAAGTAACATCACAGAACCAAAACAAAAACAAAACAGTGACTCCTTTCCATATCAAATGAGTAGCATTAAAAGAGAGAGAGAGAGAGGAGCGTCACCAGATTTACATATACCTTTACTGAAAGTTCATTCCTTGAAAATAACAAGAAACTTCAATGCCTTGAAAGTCAAGTGTCACTTAAAATCTCAACGTTCCTCGATCACTGTGAAGTGAATTCGCCACTACCAAGGTTTCAGGCCGAGTTAAAAACCAAATGACTGGAACTCTCTTCCTCTTTATACATTTCTACTGACAAGGGACATGATAATAGATAGATAAGGAGGAAATGGAACAAGAGACAGCCAAAGATGAGGGTGTTTGAATTGCTGTATCTTATTGTGCTCTAAGTTGTTAACATCATTTAAAAGGAGACAGAGAGAAAGATGGGGTGGCTATGTACGTAAATGTTCATGCGACTGTCTAAGGTGAAATGAGAAGGCTAGCTTTCCCAAAAAAGGCTCCTTAAGACGACGGTTTAAATAGAAAGTGATTTTCATTTCTACGTAATTATTTAGTTTGAATCTAAAATTAGGACAAGGGATATGGTTTGTCTAAGATCTGATGCCGTAAGAATAAAATCTTAAGTGATCAGGGATACCTAGTTTAATTTGTTATGGCAAGGTAGTTGTTTTATAAAGTATTTTTTATTTGAAAATATATTAAAATAATATATTTTTTATAATTTAAATTTATTTTTAATATTAATAATGCATTTTAAAAAAATCTATTAATAAAATTAATTCTTTACCTTCGAACAGCCTCTTTCATAACAGTACTTTGAAGATTTGGGCTCAACTAATATAAGAACTATTTTCGGCTCAGGAGGACCGATCTACGAGCCCGGAGAGAGTGATCCTAGGCTCCTAAATGTAGCGCCGTCCGCACTCTCAAAGCACAGCACACACGCACCATGGACCCTGTCTGCGTCATCATGAAATAACGTGGAGCCTCTCTTCCCAACATTCTTTAGTCATTGGATTTTTGTGGTTCTATACCTAGATTGTCCCTGGATTTGTGTTTCTATTACCAAGATGTCCAGATTCTTGCGATCCGTGATGATGGGTTCACGTTTTTATCCAACTGACCAGCAGCTGATCTTTGCAGAGCCACTAGATCTTTGAATGGCTAATTTTGGTTCTTCTATGAAATGTGTATCAATAAATTAGGGTTAATGTTAAGGTAGTTTTTGGGTGCCAAAACTAGTTGTGAAATATAAATATTTAATATCTTATCAATAACTAGATTTAGTTACTGGTACAAAAATTTTATTAAAATATTATTTTTTAATTATTAACATGATTATTCAAGATTGTTTCTATATATCCTGATTAATTTTATCATTCTTTAAGTTAATGATAATATAACTTCACAATAATTATGATATTTATAAAATTTAAATTGATAATTTTTAAAAATATTAGAATACTTGATTTTATAACAAACACGTTTTTTTCTTTCTATTCTTTTCATCTCTTCTCTTTGAGGCAAAAAATCACTTCTTCCTCTCTTAATTTTTCAACATAAAAATATTTATTAATTAATTTAAAAATTATAAGCAAACCAAATTAGAATAAGGCTCATAAACGTCAATTTATTTTTTTGATATGTTTGAAGAATGAAATCACCTCAATTGAACCTCCTTTCTAAAACAAATTCATGTGTCCCAAGATCGGATTTGTTGGACGGATATTTTCCCTCTATTTTATCTTTTTAGTGATTTTCTTTTTTGTTTATGAATATTTGGGACTAAAACGTTATAAGATTAAAGTTTATGACCAAACTCTAAAAACATAAAAAATAAGAAGCAAGCATCTAAAAATTAGAACCTGAGAGTCTAAAAATAGAAGTTTTTTGGCCTTGCGAACAACATGAAAGAAAGAAAAAAAAGCTTTGTTTTTTAGTTAGTTTTGATCCTTATTCTTTTTTGTTTTTCTTAACAATAACTTAAAATTTTATTTTATAAAATTAATATTTAATTTAAAGTTAGAATATTCCATGGCATATTGGATAAGTGAGAGTACGCAGCCTGGATTCCAACACATAAAAAACCAAGCCAACTTAATTTGCAGGGGTGAAATTAAAAATAAATAAAGTTCAATGATTAAAGTGCAAGAAAAAAAACTACAAGGACTTGAATGGAAATTATAATGAACAAGGAAGTGGATCATCAAAAGAGCATGCACGGTAAAACATCAACTTTTAAGATAACACAGTGGTTTTATTATAGCGGCTTCATGGGTCCAGCTCCCCCGTCAGGTAGAAGGCCCAGTTTTTCTCAAGTAGACGCTAGATTTGTGACGTGTCAGTGAACACTGTACAATGATTGAGAATAATATGTTCTCTTCCTTAAAAATAAATTAAACAAAAAACACGCCCTTGGATGAACTACAACACTCCCTTCAAAAACAAATATTTGCATTGGAAATCACCAAAATCTCTAAGCGTGGTTATGAATGACAAAAGCTCGCTTTAAATGACTGCGGTTTAACTTGTAAAAAAAAAATGGATTAATTTTTTTAATATTTTTAAAAGTATTGATGTTTAAAATATTTTTTAAAAAATTAATTTCTTAATATAAAATAAAAAACATTTTAAAAAATAATCATTACTACACCCTTAAATAACGCCTAAATATTTCTATCTTCTGGGCTGAAACAAATTAAGTATCTTGAATGGTGCATCGAAGCGGGTATTCAAACAAATTGAATTATAGATAGTGATTTACATGATCCTATAAAACAATCAGACCATAAAATGTCTAGCCCTGGTACTTATTGAAGCGCAATGAATGTTTGTTTCCACACCGTGAGCTTAATTAAGCATCTTATTACAACATAATAAAGAATCACCAATTCTAATTACAATCATATATATATCCTTTAAAATTTGCAAGATTTTTTTCCATGGGGTGACCTAGCACGGCGAAGCTGCTTCTCCTGGGAGAGTATTTTTGCGAACCTGCAAAATTAAGGATGTCACACTGTTCACTACATGAAATATTAGCTCATAATCTGGGTAAAACAGTGGCTTCGCATATACCTTGCCAGAGCCTCCTCATTCGTCTCTTTGACAGACTGCTCAAACAGGCCACTCTCCAAATTCACTCTCGAAACTGGTTTCTTTAGAAGTCTTTCACCAACCTTCACAAGGTCTTCCAAATTTGTTTTTGTAGCTATATCGACAGAACATTCTTCCCTGCTTAATGTGTCGTCCTGCATGCAATGAATGCTTAAACATTACTGCTGATAAAAATACGGAGAAAACATGCTATCAGCATAGTGCAATGTGTTTGAATGTATGATTGTGTTTTTTTAAATTATTTTTTATTTGAAAAAAATATATGAATAATATTTGAAAAGTATATCAATAATAATTTTTTATTTTTTAAAAATTATTTTTAAAATTAGTACATTAAAATGATTTGAAAACATAAAAAATATATTAATTTAAAATAAAAAAATTAATTTTTTTCAAAAATATTTTTAAAATACAATGCTAAAGACATTAAGAAGACATGGCCACCCCTGGTTCAAATGTTCTTTTACGCCCACATATAATTCTGTTTGGATTTCTCAGTTATATTATTTGGTCATTTAACAAAACAGACCTTTTAATACTGTGTTTAGAAATTAAAACTTGTCCGAAACTTTCCGCCTTTTTTTTCATATGGCCTTTCTTTTTTCCCGATTTATTTTTTTTCCTTTCATTCTTATCCCTTTTTTTCCTTTTATTTTCTATTTTTTCACAAGTTTATTATTTGTCACTCTTTTTACACGATGCATGGTATGTAACTCGTCATAGCAAAAGCTTCGATATGTCACTCATTATCAAAATATGGCATAATTTATTTTCATTTGTGCATACAACTTATTTGGATTTAAAATTATACACAAAAATATTAAATGTATATTTCATGCGCAAAACTAAACGAATACATACTTCTATTGTAGCTTGCTATCCACATCCTTACAGTTCATGAGCAATGCTGTCTTTTTATTTATAATTTTGGTCACGAAACTTCTTTTTTTTTATCATGTTTATCCTTTCATGTGATGCTTGTGATATTTTATTTGTCGATAATCTCTTCTCAATGTATATTCTTGAGAATTCAAGGTATTTGATAAAATTTTAGAATTAATTCAGAGGTGAATTTAATGAAACAAGATTTAAATTTGTAGTATATATTAAAAAAATAACAAGGGTTTTTCATCTCTTTTTTGCGTGAAAAATATCATTCCATCCTAGCTAGAAGTCTTCATTTATGTATATTTAGTCTCTTTACACTTATTGTCTTTCTTTATTTGTTCAAATATATAAAACCTTAGAAAAATGATACATTAGAATATTGTAAAACTAATTATAAAATTAGGTTTTCTTTTCATGATTAGGGGAAAATGAGCTATCACAATTACAAGTATAAAAAATAAGGCGGCAAAATAGAAAAAGGATAATCCTGTCTTTTTTGTGAAAGTGTGTGGTTAGACAATTTAGTTCGTCGTTGTTAAAGTTACCGGGAAAAGAAAACTGAAATCTAAAGAAAAACCAAGATATTATTGCTAAAGAACATTCCTTACCTGAACCCGAAGGTAATTATTTTCAGAGTGGAGGGCTTGAAGCACCACTGAGATGTGCAGATCAACCATGTCTGCACTTGCATGACTAAAGGCATCGATCACCGGGGTGGAACCACCGCTTGTTAACCAACCCAACAATCCCCATTTAGCTGCTTCAGTTGCTTTATATTTTTCTTGAGCTTTAGGCGATCCAGTTCCTAAGGATATTAACAAAAACCGCCCGTAGTCCATTGGTTTTATAGGAAAGAAGTCTGGGCTCCCCTTAACGATTTCTTTTGTAACTTCGCTAATAGCAATCAAAGCCTGCTTTTTGAATCACGGCAGTATGTTTCAGCTAATTATTTCGCAGAGGAGAGAATAGATAAGATGAAACACAGATAAGTTATTTGAAAATAACTAAGTGAATTTAACACATACCGGATTGTTTGCAGCAACCCCACCGTCTATAAGGTTGAATTCCCTCACTTCCCCTGTTTGTTCATCCTTGGTTTCAAAATAATGGGCTGGAAGATAAGTGGGGGCGGCTGAGGTTGCAATGCATATGTCAGAGAGTAATGCATCCAAGGAATGGTTTTTCTTAGCCTGGTCCATGAATGCAAGTGGCAGTGAGAGAGTCAGCAATATATATTAGACCTGCCGGCTTTTGGCCCTCCTCCCTCTTTCCTTCTTTCTTTTCTAATTAAAATCTTTTTTAGGTTTTAGAGAGGGGGGTATCACTTTCACGATATATATATAACTGCCGATTTGTTACCAGAAAACTTCTATAGACTCGCAAATGAATCTACCTCCCAGCTAAACCAGTTATCAGCTTTGATTTAATGCTTAATTAACAAGACTCAAGATTGAGCATTATAA